AATTCTAAATACTAACAATCCTTATAAACACTCGCCCACTTCGTTTGAACTATGCTCATTTTATGCATCCCTCCGAATCCATCCGCAGAAGACTTCCTAACCTCAAGGTATTTTTGTCCAGCATTTGTTATTTGATTTGTGGTATCTTCAACTTTTTGTATTTCTTAAGAACTTTGATCTTTTGATCTTCATACTTTGATTGCTCCAAAATTCTTACAACTTTTCTTGTAATTCTCTTTTTTTTTTTAACATGTAACTCACTTTTTTTTCACTCAAAACCTATATGCTTAAGCTAGGGCGCTCAACTTCAACCTTTATTGGTTAAAATTATTAGTTTTCCTGGATACATTTCAAGTACACGATGCTAAACATATTGCATCCCTCAAACTAAGCGATGTTGTGTTTTTGTTCCATGATTTCACTAGAATAAAGGGGGCCACAAAGGCACTATAACGTATATTGGCTCAACTAAACATTTGGGTCTTCATAAAATCATCAAACACAATACTAGCATGATTCCTAATTGCTTTTACCAAGATTTTCTAAATTAGCCCTAGCAATTTTAATGCAAAATTTTCAAAAATTAACTAAAATTTTAACTAATGTAATCAACTAATGTAACCAACCCCCTACCCCACACTTAATTTATGCAATGTCCCCATTGCATATTATGCATGATAAAGAAAACATAAAAATAAAGAGGGAATTGGAACAAACTCCCCTGGAATAGTAGTTACGAGATTGATCTTCTTCTTTAAGCGCCTTCTTCATTTGACTTTAGACATGGGAACAGCTCATCCATGTCTTGGGTGTCAAAATCTCGTGTGGTACAGCTCCAAAAACTCTAGGAAATGCTCGGAAAATGATCTTCCAAAGAAAAGAACTGATGCCCGTATCACATTGTGGTCAAATAGTGAAAATAGAATTAACGAGTGACTCGACGAGTAGATATGCTAACGCATTGAGTTGTAGCGTGACTGGCAGAAAAATCGCAAAATTGCACATGGACTCGTCGAGTAGACCGATGTGTGGAAAAATTTGTGTATTCTGCCCAGGTCCATTTCTGATGTATGGAAGTAATATCCCCCCATTTTTCTTCAGTCAATAAATACTCTATAACCCTCTTCATTAACAGACTCAACCTTGGACTCGAAAACTTCTATTCTTTCGTCTAAACTCGATTCTTACGCTATATTCTCTTACACTCTATACTCTTTCACTTCACTCTTTCACTTCATTAACGGACTCAACCCCAGCTTCTTAACGTTAGTTTTCTTATCTTGTAAATTACTTTGTTCATAGGAAAGTTTTGTAGATTAGCCATTCATAGTAGCTTGTTATACTTGAAAGACATAGATCAAACTAGGTTGCATGTGCCCTAATTATTTGAATTGTTTGAATAAATTTCCGCTTAGT